GATGAGAGAGAAACATCGATCATCTGCCTCCTGCACAACCCCTGCTGGGGATCGTGCCCACAACCAAGGTACATGCCCTTGACCAGAATTGAACCCAGGACCCTTCAGTCCGCAGGCCGACAGGCTATCCACTGAGCCAAACCAGGTAGGGCCTTATGGGTAATATTGTGCTCACTGTATATGAGGTATTGAACTAGGCATTGTGTGTATGTGTTGTATAAATACCCTTCATTTCATTCCCACAAGTTTAGGAGATAGACACAGTGATTAAGTGTGATTTGCAGATGAGTATGCTGGATCCAGAGGACATGGTCAGACAGAGGAGGCCAAGACATGGTCAGGACAAGAACTGAACGGAAGAATTCTGGCCCAAATCCATGCTGCCAGCTACCACGTTCTACTTGCCACCAGGGAGAAGGCCTTCAGAAGTTTAAAATGAGACCTGTCCCTACCTGTCAGTCCACCTGTTGGTTCTCTAACCCTTTCTCTCTTTTTGAAGTCTCTGTGACTTTGACGTCTAGGTGGTTATGAACTTGATTTTCCTGGGTTGCCCAGGTATGTCATCACCACATGTACCAAGTGTGCTCCTTTTCGTCTTTAATTTCCAGATTTCCCCTCTAGTGTCTGGTGCTTACTCGTGTCTGCTGATAGGAAGTAATAGCTGATAGTCTTCAGGTTTATTCATTAATATTGTGGTACCAGACACGCACATGTTACCAAGGGTCTAGTTGGTTTATATTTATTCTACTAGAGAAGCTTTTTTAAAATACATACATATACAATGTGTGTGTGTGTATATGTATATATATATTTTTTTAATTGATTTCAGAGAGGAAGGGAGAGAAACATCGATGATGAGAGAGAATCACTGATTGGCTGCCTCCTGCACGCCCCACACTGGGGACCCAGCCCATAACCCAGGCCTGTGCCCTGACCAGGAATTGAACTGTGACCTCCTGGTTCCTAGGTCGACTCTCAACTACTGAGCCACGCCGGCCGGGCAGAAGTTTTATTTCTACTAGAGAAGTTTTTGGTTTGTAGTTTGCTTTGTTTGTTTATTTTGTTTTTCTTAAAAGGAAACAAAATGTGGTGTTTTTTCCTCTAGATTTGGAGTCACCCCATGAGACCAAGAACTTACCTACAGAAAAGGGCATCTGTGAGATGCGTTTCTCCAAGTGGAACTCAGACGGGAAAAGCAAGTCCCTTGGCCTTGACTGGGTGTGTGAAGGTGAGTTAGCAGGGGCGCGGGGCCCTCCAGGGGGGAATCTCAGCAGACGGAAAACCAGCCGTGCGAAAGCGCCCGCTGGGGAGGAGGCCTCGGTCAGGCCGCCCCAGAGACCTCCTCGCAGGGAGAATGCCTATGAGTGCACGGAGTGCGGGAAGGCCTTCAGCCGTGGCTACCAGCTGACTCAGCACCAGAAAATCCACACGGGCGAGAAGCCCTACCAGTGTAAAGAGTGTAAGAAGGCCTTTCGCTGGGGTAACCAGCTGACTCAGCATCGGAAAATTCACACTGGTGAGAAGCCTTATGAGTGTAAGGACTGCGGGAAGGCCTTTCGCTGGGGCTCGAGCCTCGTCATTCACAAGAGGATTCACACGGGCGAGAAGCCCTACGAGTGTAAAGACTGCGGGAAGGCCTTCCGCCGCGGGGACGAGCTCACGCAGCACCAGAGGTTCCACACGGGTGAGAAGGACTATGAGTGCGGGGACTGTGGCAAGACCTTCAGCCGCGTGTACAAGCTCATTCAGCACAAGCGGATTCACAGCGGCGAGAAGCCCTACGAGTGTAAAGACTGTGGGAAGGCCTTCATCTGTGGCTCGAGCCTGGCTCAGCACAAAAGGATTCACACGGGCGAGAAGCCCTACGAGTGTCAAGAATGCGGGAAGGCCTTTACCCGTGTCAATTACCTTACTCAGCATCAGAAAATTCACACTGGTGAGAAGCCTCATGAATGCAAGGAGTGTGGGAAGGCCTTCCGTTGGGGTTCCAGCCTCGTGAAACACCAGAGAATCCATACGGGGGAGAAGCCATACAAGTGCACGGAGTGTGGGAAGGCCTTCAACTGTGGCTATCACCTGACCCAGCACGAGAGAATCCACACTGGCGAGACGCCTTACAAATGTAAGGAGTGTGGGAAGGCCTTTATTTATGGGTCCAGCCTGGTGAAACACGAGCGGATTCATACCGGAGAGAAGCCCTACGAGTGCAAAGAGTGTGGGAAAGCCTTTAGCCACGGCCACCAACTCACACAGCATCAGAGAGTGCACAGCAGTGTGAAGCTGCATGAGTGTCAGGACTGTGGAAAGGCGTGTGGCCACGCACACCATTACAGAGGACACCAGGGGCTCCACGCCGTGGGCATGGAGACCAAACCTTTCGAAGACAAAGAATGTTCAGAGGCCTCTAGACAGCACTCGTTTCTTCCACAACACGAGGCAAATTCGTGATACGATTTAACATAATGAAGTCGTCATCGGCCACTCTTCTTCCAGAATCTCAGGATAGTCCTGCGAGAGGCAGGTTTGGAGACGAGAAGTCACTTTTCCTCCCTGATCACAACAGACTCAGTGTAGACAGTTTGTTTACTGGATGGGTTAATGGACGCATAGGTTCCCAGGACCTTTTGATTTCATTTCAGATTCATTCTGGGGAATAACTGCTGATGTAACATACATGCAATAGCCTTTCCTTGCCAGGCTGTCTCCTCAGCCCCCCTCACTCACTGTGCCTCGGGGGAAATGACCTTTAACCCCTGTGCGGATCTGTGACATCAGGACAGCCACCTGATACTGCCCGTGGGCCATTAGACAAGTCTGGTATGTGGAACTTCCTGCAAGTGTATCTGGAATATTGTGCAAACTCAATAAACATTAGCTGCGTTTCTGTCGTCATTACCCTCGGTGTTGCTGTTAGTGAATTATTGCAAGAAGACCCCCTGTGGGGATAACAAGTTTAGAAAAGACTATTAAACTTCTACAAGAAAATAGTTTTCACAGCCCAGGGGCCTATGGTGTTTCTTAGCACATAAAAGGTGCTAAACATAAAATAAGGTTTATAAGTTGCACTTCCTTGCCTGACGTGCATGGCTCAGTGGTTGAGCGTCGACCTATGAACCAGGAGGTTATGGTTCGATTCCCAGTCAGGGCACATGTCCGGGTTGTGGGCTCGATCCCCAGTGTGGGGCGTGCGGGAGGCAGCTGATCAATGAGTCATCATTGATGTTTCTCTCCTTCCCGTCCTTTTTGAAATCAATAAAAATATATTTTAAATAAGTAAGTTGAACTTCCTCAAAAGAAACAAAGTTCTGTTCATCAATGGCACCGTGAGGAAGTGAAAAGCAAGAAGCAGGGTGGGAGAAGATGGTACCTGGACCTGGAAATGTAAAGAATGCCCCATGTCAATAATAAATCGGCCCCGGCGGGTTGCTCAGGTGGTTAGAGCCTCATTCTGACTCGCCCAGATTGTGGGTTTGATCCCAGGTCAGGGCACATACAGAAAGCAGCCAATGAACACTCTGATAGTGGAACTGGTGTAGGCGGCGGAAACAGCCCAGGTGTTCTACTGGTGGGGTCAGACCACACCTCGGGCTCAGCAGCCTCGGTTCTTGGGTTCTCGCAAGGAAGGAATTCAGAGCCAAGACTTAAACTGTAGGGGAGCATTTATTTGGTCAATCACAGAGGCAGGAAAGTAATTCCTAGGAGAAATGGGCTGAGGAAATGCGTTATGGGGGTAAAGGAAGGGCCCTTGGAGCTTGGGAGGGGGGAAGAGTGGGCTCCTGGGTGGGAGAGCACCCCACACCGAGTCCTCCAGCTGCATGGTGTTCCGTGGAGATTTTGGGGGCTGTCCCAGAAGATCGCAATAGACTATTCAGTTTTCCAGGTGTGTCCGTTCAGGGTTGTGGCCCCCACTGATTGCCTGGCCGTCACCTGACAGTGGGTCATTATTCCGTGCAGCTGGTCCTGACCTCGGCCGTGGCTGCCTTTGTTGCTTATCTGGGCCTGGAGCTGAAATACAACTGAAGCCTAGATGTCACCTCTAGGGAGGAAAGGTCCGGGGTCCAAACAGCGCAACCAGCAGTGACATGCTGGGGGCGAGGTCCCACCCCACAATGTTCTTTGCTAGGCCCTGGGGCTTCCCGCCCTGGTGACCTGTTCCTGGCCCGTCTTCCTTGCTGTGCTCATGTCTGTCTGACTGTTACAGACCAACAGATCAAGGTTCCTCTCTCTCTCTCATCAAATTTTTTTTTTATTTTTAATAAAAAAGTAATAAATTAAGAGGCGGGGAGGACTTAAATGACTATGGAACAAGAGAAGACCACCATGTCACCAGTAAGTACGTGAAATTGTGTTCAACTTCCTTTCCCATCCAGGAAATGCAAAGCAAACCGCCACGTCGCTAGACCCTCAGCAGAATGGCTAAAATAGAAATCGCATGAGCCACTGTCTCTGTTGGATATGCAAACATGGCCTGTTCAGGAAGGAACTGAGCCGGCACACGGTACCCGCCACATCCTGGAGGTCCCACCACAGGGACCGGAGGCCATGCTGCGGGCTGAGAGCGGGTTTGTCCTGAAGGGGCCAGGGCCTGGGGTAGAGACCCAGGAGAGTGCTGGGAGCAGTCAGACTTGGGGGGACCTGAGCCATCTGAGGCCGGTCAGCCCTACAGCGAAGGGTGATGTTGAGGAAAGACCTGGAGCCCCTGGTGGGAACCTGAGGACAAGGGGGTGGGCGCTGTCCTTCCAAACTGCTCCATACAGGTAGGGGGGTGAGGAGAAGGAATTGGCACATTCCTGTCGGGAGAGGGAGGAGGGCCACAGAGGACGGAGTGTGTGGAGGGAGGCGGGATGAGGGAGGCACAGAGATAAGATGAAGCTATGCAGACAGAGGCAGTGCCGGGCAGGCCTCTGGACAGAGCCCAGCAGCAGGGACACTGCCTGAGTGGACAGGTGACACAAAGAAACGGGGAAGTGGCCATCACTCAGGACTCTTGCCCCAGGGTAAGGGCTACGCTCTCCATCTTACCCTGGATCCTCCATTTTTTGGGCAGCCATGTGCTCGGCAAGGAGCTTCTTCCCGGAAGCCCAAGCCTCTGCTAGCCACACCCAGGATTTCTTTAAACTAACCAATGAGAATCAAGGGAAGTGTGCGCCATAGATATGACCACATCCTGTGTAACAAGACACTGACTTGCACCTGGCCAATCAGCAGGGCCCACAGTCATCTCCCCTTACTTCAACCCCCCTATAAAACTCCTCTCCACACAGAGTTCTTTCTGCCGCTTGCCGCTGCATCGGTGAGTGGAGTCGGGGAGCCGAGCTAGCTCGAATAAAGACTCTTTGCTTTTGCATCGGACTCGGCTGGCTCCCTGGTGGTCTATTGGGGATCTTGAAATCTGGGCATAACAGTTCCGACTAATTGGATGGACCTAGAGGGTATTATGCTAAGTAAAGTAAGCCGGACAGAGAAAGACAAACACCACATGATCTCGCTTATATGCACCACCTGAAAAAGCCAAAATAACCAAATGATCAAAACAGACACTGGGATACTGAGAACAAACTGCTAATTGCCAGATGGGAGTGTGACGGGGCAGTGCTGTGTGAAAACGGTGAGAAGTACAAACTGGTAGCTACAAAGGAGTCATGAAATTTCAGTACAACACAGGCATATAGTCTATAATATTATAATGAATATTACAGTGTCAGGGGATCCCTTCATAAATTACATAAATATCTCACCACGATGCTGTATATCTGAAACAAATACAATACTGAATGTCAACTGGAATTGAGAAAAAACCTTTTTTAATTAAAAATTACCCCCCAAAAAGTGCACTGTTGACACCACAGAGTTGAAACAGGTCTTTTCACCCATGGGGCAATCTGTTCTCTCTGGAAGTGGGCACAGGGGGGTCCCCTCCGTGCGGGGAATATTTCATTTCCTCCGGTGGCCGGCGGGTCACGGTCCGACTTGTGTTGCGAGAGCGCATCTCTCCGCCCCGGCACAGTGTGCACTGTCCACGTGTGTGTCTGCCTTGACAAATGGACACTGAGCAGGGCTCGGGGTGCATCCCACCTGCACACTCCATACAGGCTCAGAGGCTCCGTGGAACCGGAAGAGGGTGCAGCGCGAGGCAGCATCCGGCTCCCGTGGTCACACTCATCCCACTAGAGGTGTGTGTGAGAGCTGGAGGCGGCTGGCTGTGGCTCACTGGTCTCCAAGCTGTGCCGGATCCCGTATCCAAAGTATATGGCGAAGCCTGGGACAGATACGGGACCATGAGAAGGCACAGTGCCCCCTGGGCCTCCTGTTAGGGCACCTGAGATGGCTGGGTGGGAATGGAGCGGAGGTTGGGTTCGGTCCCCCAAGAGGCCACTTACCAATCGCCATCCAGATGCCAAACTGGGCCCAGGTCATAGAGGTCATCTGCATCATCAAGTACATGTTCACAAAGATGCTGACCAGGGGCAGGACAGGCAGAGCAGGGACCTGTGGGCAAAGTCAGGTCGTCCCTGAACACACCAGACGCTCCAGAGGGACACCCCGCCCCCACCCATGGGTGGGAAGGGAGAGCTCAGTCCTGCTCAGGCCACACCCTCCACGCCCACTCAGAGGGGGAACCCCACCGCATGCTCTTGAGCAGAGAGTGGGCGGTCCATTCATTGTACCCCTCCCCCTGCCTTCCCTAGTCCAGCGAGGCAGGCAGAGTTCATTTCCTCCAGGCAGGTAGACTGGGGTCCCCCAGGTCACCCACCTTGAAGCTAAGAGGAGCTGGGCTCTGGGGCTGCCTCCAGAGGATGAAAGTGAGCCCCACAATGAGCAGCAGCAGCAGAGCAGTCACTGCCGTGGCCGCCGGGTCCCCGGAGACCAGACGGCCGGGCCACTGGGCCAGGACCAGGCTCAGGACGGTCAGCAGGAGAGCTGCCGGGGGGTGGGGGTGGCGGAGAACAGGTCAAGGTCAGAAGCCAAAGGGGTCAAGGGCTTGGGTCACATCCCACCCTCAGACTGCCCACCCCAGCATGCGCCATCACGCTCTGGCCGGGGTCACTCGTGGTTAGAGCGCCTGCCCGTGCACCTCGGGGTCACAGGTTTGGTTCATGGACAGGTGCCTGGGTAGCAGGTTCGATCCCTAGTGCGGGAGGCATCCGATCTATGTGTCTCTCCCACGTCGATGTTTCTCCCCGCAACCCCAGCCCCAGTTCCACTCTCTCTAAAAATCAATGGAGTGACATCAGGAACAAAAATATGGGCCGTCACCTGTCCAACAGTCCTCCACAGGCACCCACTCCCGCCTCATCCCGTCACCACCCAAGAGCCAGGCCCCTGCTCACCCAGCAGCAAGGCACATTCATAGACGATGTGGC